CTTAACACACATCATTCTAGACCTAATTTAATACGCTGTGCCAAATTTCGTGCAAATCGAAAGATATTTATGGACTTTGGTACACCATATGGACTTTGGTCCATCTGAACCGATTTTTCTCAATTTTAATAAGAATAGTCCATGGCCCAAATAAGTGACCTATGCCAAATTTCATCCAATTCGGATCATAAATGCTACCTGCACTTTCTTTATAATTTAACATATACAGACGGACGGAATGCCTAAATCGACTTAAAATGTGATTCTATGCATATTCTCAAAAGGAAGCATGTGACTCACTCGTTTCCTTTTGCTTGTTACAAACATATGCACAATGACATAATACCCTGTACCACAGTGTGGTGAAGGGTATAAAAAGGGGGTTATATGGTTACTACCCCTAAAAGGGGGTGAATATTAATAATTTTTGATAGGAAATTTTTGTTACCATATACGACTACAAAATTCCAAATTACAGCGAATTCTGTTAAAAACGCTCTCAAGAACCTCAAAATAACGAAAATTGGGGGTACCCTTTTATGGGGGCTACCAGAAAAAATTGACCTATATTTATAATTTTTAGTGGAGAGATTTGTTACCCAATAAGAACTCAAAGTACTAAATAACAGCCAATTCGGTGGAAAAATGCGACCAAAATCCCTAAAAAACTGAAAATTGGAGGTGCCGTTATTGGGGATTACCAGAAAAAGTGGACCGATATTTATAATTACTAGTTTGGATAAGCGCAATGTACCAAATTTCAGAAAAGTCGATCGAAAAACGCGATCAAGAACCCCAAAATACCGTAAATTGGGGGTACCCTTATATGGGGGCTATCCGAAAACATGGACCTATATTTATAATTTTTAGTCGGGAGATTTCTTAGCCAATAAGAACTCAAAGTACCAAATTTCAGCTAATTCGGTTGCAACACGCACTCAAGAACTTCAAAATACTGAAAATTGTGTGGTACTCTTATATGGGAGCTATACCTAAACGTGGACCGATGTAGCCCATCATCGAAGTTGACCTGCCTGCAGACAAAAGACGAATCTACGCAAAATTTTGGCGATCTATCTCAATTCGTTTAGACGCTAGAGTGATTACAACAAGAATATATATATATATATATATATATATATACTTATACGGTCTGATCAAGAATATATACTTTATAGGGTCGGAAATGATTATTTCGATGCGTTACAAACGGAAAAACAAAACTAATATACCTTCCATGCTATGGTGGAGGGTATAACAAATAGACTTAAAAATATTTCCTATTCCCAAAAATCCACGCTTAGTGTTCTGATAATTTTTCAAAAAAATCTGCTCTGATAATCCCTTAAAACTAATCTTAAAATATCCCGTTCTATTGCTCTGCCAATCCTTCGCAAACATCCGCAAAAAGTCTAAACCTTTTTTTACACTTAATTTATAAAAAAATAAAAAAGCGTTAAGTTCGGCCGGGCCGAACTTTGGATACCCTCCATCATAGATATACTGACATGTACTTGAAATAAAAATATAGGGAATATACCAAAAAGTGTACCTATACCGACATTTCAACAAGCCGATAATGGTTTTAAATATTGGTCCTAGACCCCATGTGTCTTTGGATCAAATTTGTTTAAAAAATTTTGATTTCATCCAAACATTGCTCATCTTATTATTTCTTCCAAAATTAGTTCAAGTTCGAACATGGGAATATCGGCCCACCCATTCTGGTACCTCCCACACAGGGGCTAGGCCTAAATGCGGGTTACAGTTCATATATATATATATATATATAAGGTTAATTATCGAACATTAAGTACTTGTTTTTTTGGTATCTTCCGCAGATAAAATGATTACAACAGAGTTTTAGAAACAAACCCAAACACGGAACAAGTCATATTACTATTTTAATATTAAAAAGGGGGTTATATGGGGACGACCCCAAAAAGGGGGCGAATATTAAAAATTTTTGGTAGGGAGATTTGTTACCATATACGACTACAAAATACCAAATTGCAGCGAATTCGGTTGAAAAACGCGATCAAAAACCCCAAAATACCGAAAATTAGGGGTACCCTTATATGGTACCTATTAACAACTCAAAATACTAAATTCGGTTGAAAAATGCGATCAAAGCCCCCAAAATACTGAAAATTATGAGGTGCCAGAAAAAGTGGACCTATATTAGTACCCAATAAGAACCCAATGTACCAAATTTCAGAGTATTCGTTTGAAAAACGCGCTCAAGAACCCCAAAATACCGAAAATTGGGTGGTGCTGTTATATGGGAGCTATGCCTAAACTTGGACCGATATATCCCATCTTTGAACTATCTCAATTCCTTATAATTCGTCTTAGAATTTTACCCCGATCAAGAATATATATACTTTATAAGGTCGGAAATGAATATTTCGATGAGTTACAAACGGAATGACAAAATTAATATACCCTCCATACTATGGTGGAGGGTATAAAAAATAATTTTGTATTTGCATGCATAATTTGGTCAGCACCAGATTATTGGTCGATGATCTAAGTTTGCAAATATTTATTTGAGTATTTTATTTCATCTATTGTTTTCAAATACCAACACGTTAATCGTTTTGATCGATAAATTTGTATTGTGCATGTAAAACAATAGATAATGTTAATAAATCATTTTTAAAGTAGACATTTCTAACAAATTTTTTAAAAACCTATCAACATGTTATTGACAAAAAAATATATATTTATTATTGTTTGGTGTTTTTAAAAAATCTATAAATGACATAAATACCTTATATTACTTTTATAATATTTAATCTTTAATGCAAGAATTTTTCTTTTTGGCTGAAACAGCACAAGGTCAGAATGAAGGAAAAACTATATATTAAAATATTTAGTACGCCTATGATTGTAACAGGCAAAAGGAAACGAGATAGACCCTTCCTCTTGAGAATATGCATAGAATCTCCTTCTGAGTCCATTTATGCATGTCCGTCCGTCTGTTAATGTTAAATTGTAAACAAAGTGCAGGTCGCATTTATGATCCGAATATGATCCGATGAAATTTTGTACAGCTCACTTATTTGGCCCAAGGACAAACCCTATTGAAATTGGGAAAAACTGGTTCAGATTTAGATATAGCTCCCATATAGATCTTCGTTCGATATAATAGAAATGATGCACCAAAGTTCCTATATATATTTTCATTTGCATGAAATTTAGCATAGCGTACCAAATTTGGGTTTAAAATGATGTGTGCAAAGTTTCTTAAGAATCGGTTATATAAATCCCATGCATATTTTCGTCCGATTTTATGTAAATGGTGCACCAAAGTCCCTATATATCTTTCCATTTGCACGACATTTGGCATGGCACACTAAATTAATCCTAGAATAATATGTGTTAAGTTTCGTAAAAATCGGTTCAGAGCTAGATATAGCTCCCATGTATAGTTTCGGCCGATTTAATGTAAATGGTGCACTAAAGTCCCAATATATCTTTCGATTTGTACGAAATTTGAAATAGCGTACTGAATTTAGTCCATATATATTTCGAACGGGTGTCGGATTGATATTAAATTTTTAACAGTGCGGCGTACTGAATAGCGTGTATAAAGTTTGCTATAAATCGATTTCCATAAATTTGTCCCATTGTATGCAAACGTCTCTAAATCTGCCCGAATGAAATTAAATTTAGCCTAGGTTGCAGAGAGGCTTGTGAATGTTTCTCCGAGAGAACATTAACATGAACTTGTTAGGATACGTATGTACAATTTTCCCAAAGTGGAGAAGGGCATCATATAGTCGGCCCAGTTCGACTTTACTACATTCCTTACTGGTTTACATTAAACCAGTTTAAAATAAAAAAAAGAAACAGTCAGCGGAGCAGTATAGTCGGACGGCGCCGACCATATGATACCCTACACAACTTCCATGAAAATCTAACTTTCTGTGGTTCTATATTCTGAGATTGGGAAATATTTCGGCAAGAGGTCAACAAATATTACTAATAATCAATACAGTCCCTCTAATTACTTGTCCAGATTCCATTCACCGTGGGTTGTGTTGTGATGTTCGGTTTTCGACTCGAAAATTACAAATAATTCAGTTTTCGGTCCACTTCATCCGAAAAATTATTATCTGATCATCACCTAGCATTTTAGGCGTTGTCCTTGACCATAACTGGAACCTCATGAATCATTTCAAAGCGATCAGCGCTATATTTCCGCCCTCCAGTGTGGCAATAGTTTACTAAATAATATATGAATACGTAAGCACCTGTAAAAATTTAAGGGAATCAATTTAAAGGTCAAGTACTCCTCTTGGATATATTATCAACTTTTGGGGTCTATGTCCTTCAGGGGTAAATATATAAATAATAGATAATAAAATAAAATAATAAAATGAAAAAATTCGCTGTTGCAAACATAAATTTACTGTAAATAAAAATTCATTTCCCCCTGCGTACGTCCCTGGGGCTCATCCTAGCGCCAAATAAGTGACTTATACAAAATTTCATCCAAATCGTATAAAATTGCAATAAAGGTCAATGCATTGACATATCACCAATTCGCTGAAAAAATGTTAATATATTTCCCGCTAACTTTTCGGGTTGTTAACGACCCAAGCGAATTTGCTATTTGTTAGTTTTAATGCCCTGAACATGACGAAGGATAACGATATTTTTACTTTTTCAGCCTGTTTTTGTAAAATTCCAAACGAACGAATTCGAGTGACTTACGACCAAACCTTTATTTATGTTTATAAATGTTTTATGATTCGAAACAAAAATAAATGACATATTTTTCAAAACCAAGGAGTTTTATGAAGTCACACGAATTCGGATTTGTTTTTACAAAAACAGGCTGTTTATATAATACAAAAAATATGAAAACCTTGACAATATATAATAATTAAATTAATTCGTTTGTATTTCTTTTACAACAATTATAACATATATAACAATCAACAACATATTTAACATAATATCAGTTCATTTGACATTACTCAAAATCCTTATAGACTAATCGAAATCGTATTTAAGCACGGAAGATGGAAGCGGGCAAGTAAGAAGCACCAGGAGTAGAAGCAGCAGTGGCTGGAGCACGTACAGCGGGTTGAGAGGCAAAGTTAATGACGGGGGCAACACCACCGTTGAAGTTTTGCGATTTGCCACCCAAAGAGTCGTATTGACCTTGAATGGCACGTTGGGCATTGGCAGCATCTTCAGGTGTGCGGTATTTGACAAAGTGAACTTCGGGTTTGTTGTTGTTGCCGGTGTTGATGTTGTTCAATTTGTTGGCCAAATCGCTGAGGTCGGCTTGTTTGTTGAGAACATAGATGGCGGTTTCTTGTTGGGCAGCTTGTTTGGCCAAAGCCAAGGCAGCATCTTCCAAACCACTGTTTTCGGGGCCCTTGATGAAGATGACACGGAGACCTTGCTTGACGGAGTTGGCCAATTGTTCAGAAGCGGCGGGATCATTGAAATCGTTATCGTTGGCGGAGAAGGTGTAGAATTCCTTTTCGAGTTCAGCCTGGGGAGCTACGGCAGGGGAATCATTGCTAGCTACTGGGAAATCGCCCAATGGAGCAGCGGCAGGAGCAGAGCCGTAGTTAACACCAGAGCTAATACCACCACCAATTCCGCTACCAATATTGCTGGTTGGTTGGTAGTTGTATTGGGCGCAGGCAGCAGCCACTAAGCACAAAACCTAAAATGTCAAAAACGAATAAAAATGAATTTAGAAACAAATTTCCTTTTGCCATAAATTTCTCCAATAGATCCTTACAATGAAAGCACGCATATTGTTGGTAAATTTTTAGTACTCTATGAGACACTGTGTTCAAGTGATTTGATGTTCTCAGCCACGTACTGGACAATTTATACTTAGTTTTCGATTAACTGCACTTTGCTATTCTCATCTGTAGAGAAATGTGCAAACTGCTGATTTCAAATAATTTAACTTAATCGGTTTTCAAGTTCAGCCGAGCAATAACTTAGAATGGATCAATTCCTTTTTGAACTTTGCCGACATCGATGTCTCCGTTATGTGACACTAAAGTCTCACCGTTTTGACCTAACATCATATTTGGCAAAATATTTTGTTTGCCTTCCGATATTCTTCGTCTTCTTCTCCTTCTTCTTATTCTTGTGGTTCGAGCTTAGCATGGAAGCAAATTTCTGTTTGTGTTGTTTTTGCCGTATTGCCTTCGAACAACTTTTATTTGAATGAATGAATATTTTAATAAATTGTATTTCATATTGAAAAACATCAAAAACATAGAATACAAATATCGTGGAGGTTCTTGATCAAATGTTATTATTGTTCGCTCATGTTGAGATATTTCAGATTCTTTATATGAAATGATTTCTTCACTTCCGGTGTTTATGTGATAAATATTAATAAGAAATTTAATCTTTTGATATAAATTAATAATATTCGATTGAAAATGTTTGAGTCACCAATATTATTAGGAAGTGAAATAAGACCATGAAGGAAGTTTTTTTACCAGATGGAGATTTATTTATTTATTTATTTTTTTTTTTTGTGAATAATATATTAAACAAAATGCACCGCAAATTATTTAAAAAATATATTTGCTTTTTAGTTAGATATTCTTATTTCTAAAATCACATTTTTAACATAAAACCCAGCAAAAATATATCAACTGAAGCCAATAATCGTCCGGTCTTCATTGGCTCATAATTCTCAACTTTTTCAACTGCATATTGTCGATAGTTATTGTCAGGCACTGGACTTTCACGTCCTCGTAAAACGTCACCACATGTCCTGCAGCTAGACATACACTTAAGCCAGTCAAAGGCCTTTTATGTGTTCTAAAAAGGAACACGTAAATCTTGGGTAAGTTCGGACGGGTCGAACTCTTTATACCCTCCACATATAAAATTCTTTATATGAGAAATATCTTATTGTAAATTGGGTCTTAGTTGGTGGAGAGAAAACTGGGCTAGAAACTTCAACATTTCGAACATAATTTGGGGAGCACGCAAGAAATGCGGAATGGCGGACCAAAAGATATAGCGAAATCGACATAGAACTGCCTTGGGTGACAATACCAGAGTCGTTGGTTTTCCAATATCTTATTCTGCATGCTTATATATCATAGGGAATTTGTGTAATTTGAGAATTCTCAATATTTTTTGTAACGTATCGATCATTCGGCAGTACTTTGTGAACAACATAGGGCCCCATGAATTTGGTGTCTACATTCCGGATCACTACAAAATCTCCTACATCAAATGTGTTGACCACCTCGCCTTTCGCTTTATCATTGCGTCATCAGCGCTATTTCTGATCTGCTGCTCTCTCGTTGTTAGCTTTATGAAAGAGGTATTCTTTTATTATACCCTACACAACTATGTTGTCAGGGTATTATAGCTTTGTGCAGCCCCAAGAGTTTGTAACGCCGCGAAATATTGGTCCTAGACCCACTATTAAGTATACCGATCGTATTATCATGACTAGTTGAGTCGATCTAGACATGTGTGTCCGTCCGTCTGTCCATTATAATTTGTAAACACGATACAGACCACAGTTATGGACCAATCTTCACGAAATTTTGCATGTAGGGAGGGTTTTGGCCAGTGAAGACTCCTATTGTTTTGGTAAAGATCGGTTAATATTTAGGGCATATCATCCCCTAAATATTAACCGATATTTACCAAAAATATTTAATTTTTGTTGGTTTTTCTGGTCGCTCTAGAGGCCGCAAATATGACCCGAACATTGCGAAATTTTACACGGAGAAGGGGATTGAGCCAAAGAATAAGCATGCCTGTTTTCAAAACGATCGGTCATTATTTAGCGGGTCAAATTCTATGGCGTATATTTTTACTCGTGAATCATATAGATCCGCGAAGTTGATAGTGTATCCAAGAGGAATGGTTGACCTTCAAAATGACTCCAATTAGATTGTCGTATATACTCGAATGTGGGAGTTACACACAAATATTTACAGGTGCTTACGTATTCAGATATTATTTAGTAACCCATTACCTCATTAGAGGGCGGAAATATAGCGCTGATTCCTTTAAAATTTTCCATGAAGTTCCAAATATGGTCAAAGACAACGCCTATAATTGTCGATGATGATCTGATTAAAATTGGGATGAAGTGGGCCGAAAACTTAATTTTTTTGTGTGTTTTCTAGTCGAATATAGGCGAACATCACAACACAACCCACCGTGAAGGGAATCGGAATAAACATCCGAGTTCGTGGTAGTTGTGTAGGGTCTCGTATGGTCGGTCCCGTCCGACTATACTGCTCCGCTCACTGGTTTCATAATCTTTCCTCTGTTCTTTCTTACATCGTAATATAATTTTACAATATCACTTGGTCTTCGGTAATCATCTTATTTACAAAGGCTTGTTTCCTTAATCTATTCTACTACAATGTTTTCTTTTCTTCCTCCGTATATACAGGTCTGATGCATCTAACTTTGTTATGGGTTTCATAAACATTAATACTGTTTTAGATTTTATTGTTAGTCTAGAATTTGAACTTAACCAGCTTAGACCCTGATCTGCCAGTCGAAGTGAACTTTAAGTCCTCGTGTTTTCCATGAAGAATTCCTATACCCTCCACTCTTGCCGAGAGCCATTTTTAAGAGATTCCACCAATGTAATAACCTTCTTATAGACCCCTCGAATCATGTTTGTAAGATTTTGATATTTTTTGTAGGAATATATACGACATAGCAATGATAGGCCTCAAGCAACGGCTCGGATTGCCTTTTGCATGACAAAGCCCTGGCTTATCTTGGTCCCATCTCAATTGTGGACACTGACCTCCCCGGGGTGTCACCTGGGGTAGCTAATTTCAACACTTGTTGAAATAGAGACCTGATGTGTGGCGCGAGTTCACACATAAAAACTACAAAATTAGTTAAGACGTTGGGTTATATACCAACACGGGCAGCGCGACAGAATACCACGGGATACGGCGAATACCAACACCGGCTGCATGACAGAATATCCTCTTAAATAGAATGGTTTTTGGTTGGCTGCCCATTGTCTGGAAATTTTTGTCTGGAATTTTTGGACAGATACCAACACCGGTTACACGAAATAAATTCCATGTTTTTGTAGAAAGGGCAAAGTGTAGTCTATCATTTGGGTCGGAATTGTTGAGGGACTATGATAGACCCTTGATCGACATATATGTTTCCACTCAATGAAAAAATATTTTTTTAACTGTAAATAATTTTGTATTATCGGATCCTTAGATCTGGGTTTAACCGGGTAACCGTACCCGAACTTCCGGGTCAAATAACCGAATCGTCCTCCAAGAAAAAATATCAACATCATGAGGGTAAAAATATTTACCTCGGGAAAACAATTAAAAAAATCGGGTCGTTTTTTCCTAACTAGAGTTGTTCCCTATATTCTAGCAGCAAAGGTGTGATCTAATATAACACGGAAACTTGACGTCGAAAAGCTGCAAACACAACAGATAGCAGAGAACTACTCCGCTCAACTAGCTAGACCCAAGCACTCCTTTTCCCGATAATAATATGTGCTCCTATATGGCAAAGAATTGAACACATCCAACCAAAAGCAAAACTTTGATAACAGAAACAAGAAGAAAAACGTGAGCGTGAGCAAATCTAGATGTACAGGAGTAAGCATGAAGAAATTTAGCCAACGAGTAAAACACCAAACTGAAGGCTTCAGTGCATGCTCATCCTCCTGTAGAGATGAAGATGGAAACCTGGTGACAGATGCAGATAGAGTGTTGAGTATCTGGAAAGAGCACTTTGCAAAGCTTCTGGTATCAAATAGTGGCGGTGAAGAAGATACCCCAGAGCCAATAATGGATTACGGTATAGATGGTATACCACAAAGACAAGATGAGTGAGAATAGCAATTAATCGGATGAAGAATAACAAAACATGGTTCCGAATTATTCAAGACCGGTGATCAGATGCTCATCAGGAGCATACACCAACTGATTAGTACAATTTGGCTAGAGGTATATGCCAACTAGATATATATATATATATATATATACGATATATGCCAACTAGAGAGAAATTAGTCTCCTTCTTATCGGATATAAAGCGCTATCCCAAGTGCTTTGTTAACCACTGAAGCCAATGGTCAATGATATTATTGGACCTTGCTACTGAGGCTTGAGACCTGGGAAATCAACCTTAGACCAGATTTTTACACTGCGCCAAATCCTGAAAAAGACTCTCGACACATTCCAACCATTCGATGACTATAAATCCACATTTGACAGCCCTATCCGGTTATAGTGCGTTTACATTATACCGGATTTAGTTGCCTATTTGTCAAATAAATCCTCATCAAGTAGGTTAACCCGGCAAAAAGTTCTAATGTAAATGCCGTTTTATGCAGTGTAGCTTTGATTGGCACAAGGAGGGCAGTTAATGTTGGAAAGGACCTCTCGGAGGCATTCAATACCGCATGATGGTTGTCGCGTCCCTGCTGGAAAAGGTCATACGAGAGGACATCAGAAATTTCACTCTGTACACTAAACAGCACATGTTACACGCCTACACCGATGAGTACGCGACTGATATCGACATAATGGATCGAACGATGCAGTCACTTTTAAAGAAATTGAGAAGGAGTCTGCCAAAGTGTGATTTGCAGTAAATGGCGAAAAGACTATGCTGATAGTATCAACGCACAAGACGTCCAGTAGTCTCAGACCAACTCTGAAACTTGAAAACTACAGCGTTGAGGCGGTCAACGATATTATATACCTCGTTAACGCCATAAATATAACGAATGACATCCGTTTCTGAATAAGCAAT